TAATCCGTCTTTTGGATTGAAAAGAAAAAATCCTTTTCTGTTTGACTCTATCAGAAGTTGTCCATTCAAGGTGAGTATTGGATGCACAGGCTCCGTGTGGATACACATTGCTTCAACCTTTGGAATCTTACACAATTTAACCCATGATTTAGTTTTTGTCACCCCATGACTTTCCTCTCTCATCACCCACATATCAAAATGAATGCGATCAAAATCGCATAGCAAACAAAGTGAATCTTCCCAAACTCCTAACAGACTGGCATTGGTGGATAAATTACAGCTGCCTAAAGAAGTTTCTTCTCTTAGTGTATCTCTATCCAATTCAAAACATACAATCACAGAACCGTTGCCCTTCCTTGCTATCCAATAGAGGCAGCCATTAACAGCCGTTCCCACACGGTTTTTTTCCGATATGTCACATATGCCATCAAGTAAGTTGTTCCGATCAATGTTCCACTGACCGGTCTTCATCCTCAGCACGTTGATACTTCTACATTGGTAAACATCTAATGCAGTTTGAAAATCTATAATGTGCACATTATAATACATGTGCATGATCTTGTAATCTTCAATGGAGGCATCATAGCTGAACCCAAAAGCCTCCCAGCCCCTTCTTCCGCCTTCTCCGCCTGTCAACTGAAATCTCTTACGTTCCCTAGTCATCGGGTTCCAAACTATGACTGTGGACGCATAATGTTCGGGTTGTGAATAAGTGTGATTGAGCATGCACAAGATGCCGTTACAATGTGCTACGCATATAATTTCTTCGTTTGAAGTCCCAGCAAGGGGACATTCAACGTCTACTGCTTCAACAGTATTCCCTTCGGAGCCATCGAAAGAGGTTGGAATCCTTAACCGAGACAACCCTGGGGTATGGTAATCAATGTAATGGAGAAAAAAATCTTGGCCAGTGATGAATTTTTTTGAATCGGAAAACGCAAGATACCATTGTTTGGATAGACATTTGAACCGCAAAAGAGATCTCAGTGGAAGCCTTGTCAAAATGTTCTCTACGAGTTCTTGAGGAAAATTGTACTCCATACCTAACAATCTTGACATGTTAATACCTGTGAAACTGAAGCGTGGATGATGAAATTCAGGGTGCTATACTTATAGTAATCCATTATTAATTCTTTTTCAATTAGGATTTCAATAAGCGAGGGGGTCTTATCATTTTTGGAAACGAATTACCATCAATGATGCTTCTAACTTCTAAACTTTATCAAAATGTTAGTTTTAGTCCTTAAACTTTGTTTTTTCCTATTTAACCACACAGTCCCCAAGACAGCATCTGTGGATTCAATTTTCACGTTTTTTAGCACCCAGATTTGCCCACAATCTAATGCAATTAAGGAGGGAAATCTGCAGATTCCCCATTGACGTTCTTGGCAAGAGAAGAATAGAGGAGGGGTTGTACATTTGTGAAGGTCCAGAACGTTGGTAAGAACTAGCTTTCGGGTCTCTCTTTTCCTTGTAGAGAAGGAATTTTCTTACATATATACATATATATATATATATAAGAAAATGGAAATAGAAATTGAATTAAAAGAAAAGTGAAAATCAAATATCCTAACTCTTTAATTTTTATAAAATTGTTTAAATATCCTGAATGAATATTTTGTGCACGTTGATTCATCAAAGATGTTTTAGTTTTTTCATTATCATTTATAATATTTTAATTGCTAAAAAATCCTAATTTTCCTTAATTTTGTATATTAAGAGTACATATAAATCCCTATATCACAACCTAAAGCCAAAGTAGAAACATATCTACAACATTACATACAAATGAAAACTATATTATGATGAATATAAACAATTAAATATAGAGAGTCATCTCTATATAAATATCACAATAGCAATTACCATAATGGCATAAATAGATCTACTAACATAGAAAGAAAGTAGTTATGAGCATCCTAAACTACAAGCATTCTCAACTGTTATGCTAATTTTTTGGGGAGAACAAGTGGTTTAGCAAATAATAGTCCCTACCTACTAAATGTCATATGGAAGAGGAGATTTACTAGTCTAGAAAATAGTTAAGAGTCTCCTCCATGGATCACCAAAGCCATGCCCAAAACTAATTCAAAAGAGAATTCGAGTCTTTATCATCCTCCTAATTAACCATGTTGCCAACAACCAAAGTATGCGCCGCAACTAGTTCAAGTCTTGCTAGCCCTACCACTATGCTACTGTCCTCTTCAAAATTGAGGTAAAAATCCTATGAAAAACATTACAAAAGCACAGACAAACAACCCTTGTGACACCTCTAAGCAAATCCCGCAATGTTGACAAAACACGAGAGAGATGCTAGGCTCAATGGGTCCTCGTACCCGTCACTAGCGAGGATGAGGATGGGGAGGGGGTCCTTCCCCCTGTGGGAACTTGTTGTCATCCCTAATTCTGTATGATCTCTTAAATGACAGTGCAGTAAACTTGAGTAAGGGTGCTCAATTTCACATTGACAAAGCATGTGGGAGATACTAAGTATATAAATCAACACTTTAGCCTTTATTGATATATTTTAAAACTATGAGACTTAATGAGTCAAACCGAATACTACCGATAGTAGGTTGTCATATTGACGTGTTTTAAAACTATGAGACTCAATAAGCCAAAGTGAATAATATTAATAGTGGGTTGGGTCATTACATATTAAAAAAAGAGATAAAAGAACTCCTACAAAAAAGAGACCCTAAAAAAGAATAGAGAAACTCTCATCTTTATTCATTCTCTTTTATTGTCAAAGGAAAGAGACACGATAGCTACGGAATTAAGAAAGAAGAAGAATATTTGAGAGACAAGGGCAGGCGGCTAGAGAAACCGATATTGGAGTAGATGGATTTGTAGAGATGGAAAATTGATGCTTTAAAACAAGTGTAATTTTTGCCATTAAGGCTTCAATTATGGGATATATTATATAAGTCATAACCCATGGTCTCAACACCCTAGGAAGCATCAACATCTAGTGCCTTCAAGATAAATGGTTTGTTCTGTTCGAACTGTGCGTAGGAAAATATATTCTAAATTATAATAATATTAAAATACCTTTAACAAATAAGAGTTGTCGTATGGTACGAGTTATTGTAATACTTATACAAACATTGTGTACTCATGTAATTTTTATGTTTTCAAATACTTTATCACTGTTTAGAATGATTTGAAGAGCTTGCATGGTTAAACCAAGATGGTATTCAACAAAAGGAATTTCATAAATATTTATTAATTTTGGTTATTTAAATTGACATAAATATTTACGTTTTATATATTTTTACTAATTTTAATTAATATTTT